CATCTACCATTCATCCGTGTCTCTGTCTCCATCCACCACCCATCCATCCATCTACCATTCATCCATATATCTATTATCCATCACCATCTGTCCATCCACCATCCATCCACCATCCATCCATCCATCCATCCATCCATCCATCGCTCCATCCATCCCTCCATCCATCCCTCCATCCCTCCATCCATCTACTTATCCGTCCATCCATCTACCCATCTACCATCCACCTATTTATCTGTCAGTACTGATTTGGGGTCTAAGTATGACTGTTAACAACTAAGGTTGTTGGTGCTTATTGTATATGAAATAAATGTTTAGGAATTTGATCCAAGACCTGTGCCCGTACTGTTTAAGCTCCGTATAAAGGAAAACTTCCTGATTGTCATTAACCTACTGGTTATGGAAAATTTGGGGACACTAAATCATAGTAAACACAGTAAGAATTTACATACTTATATAAATTTTACGGTTTATAGTGTTATAAACTTATAGGAATCATAGGAATCTTACAGTTATATAGCTATACAGCTGTATACAGCTGTTAGTTGTACAGTTATACAGCTTATAGGAATCTTACAGTTTCCTATAAGAAAAGATATTAGAGTTAAGTATTGGTAAGGCAAACATATTACGTCCTCATTTTTTCTAATGGTTTTCAGAATGGGTAATTTACTGTCCAAAAGTCACATAATTTATGAAGTAATAGCACCTGGTAACTGAACTTGGGTATTTCCAGGGCAAATACAACACAGTGTCTTTTTCTCTATACACTGATCCCTGGAACTTGCAAGGACTTAAAAATGACAGAATGCCCCTTATGAGTGTGTTTTTGTTGTTGTTTGTTGTTTGTTTTTTGAGTTAGGGTCTCACTCTGTTGCCCAGGCTATAACCTCAAACTCCTGGGCTCAAGGGTTCCTCTGACCTCAGCCTCCCAAGTAGCCGGGAATACACATACGCCACCATGCCCAGCTAATTTTGTAAATTTTTTTGTAGAGATGGGTGTCTCACGGTTTTGCTCAGGCTAGTCTTGAACTCCTGTCCTCAAGCCATCCTCCCACCTTAACCTCCCAAAGCCCTGTGATTACAGGCACAAGCCACTGTGTCTGTCCCCTGCCCCCCATCCCTCACCCCCAAGTGTCTTTGACACTTTGAAGGTGAAAAAGAAAGTTCTGGTTTGGCGGACATTTTTGGAAAAGCCAAGGATTTAATGCTGTGGACACACTATTTCTGACACTTACCGTATTTTCATCTTAAATAATATTACAGGAGTGGAGCAGTAGGACTTCTCAGCCCTATCAATTTTTGCAGGTATTTGAAGCCTGAGATTAGTTTTGGTAATACCTTCCTCACTTCCAGTACACGCATATTCCTGTGAAAACTGGTCATTTGACATATGACACAGAAATTGGCCATATGAATTGAGGATTTTATTAGTCCATTTTCACGCTGCTGATGAACACATACCCCAAACTGGGCAATTTACGAAAGAAAGAGGTTTAGCTGGACTCACAGTTCCCCGTGGCTGGGGATACCTCACAATCAAGGCGGAAGGCAAGGAGGAGAAAGTCCCATCTTATTTGGCTGCAGGCAAAGAGAGAGCTTGTGCAGGGTAACTCCTCTTTGTAAAACCATCAGATCTCTTGAGACCCACTCACCAACTGGGAGAACAGCACAGGAAAGACCTGCCGCGATGATTCAACTACCTTTCACTGGGTCCCTCCCATGACACGTGGGAATTGTGGGAGTTAGAATTCAAGATGAGATTTGGGTGGGGACACTCCCAAACCATATCAAGGATGTCTCAGAGTGAGACTGAAAAACTTGGTAATCTCAGCATTTGGTTCCCTAAGAGTCATCTTAATGTAATGTAAGCAGGCCTACTGGTACTGCTGGATTTCATCAGTATGGCTGTGTGTGTGTGGGGGGGGGGGGGGGGTGGGTAGCCAATTGAGCATGCATCTGATAGCTGGATTAGTTAATTCTCCAATTTGTTCCACAGCAAATTTAAGGTGACTGATGTCATTCAATTTATAACATATGATTCAGTTTCAGAGAAGTGGGTATCATTTTGCTAAGGAGGCCTGCATAATACTGGCCCATTCTGTAGCACATTCCTTATGGTTTAAATATTTTAAATAGTAGTGGAAGTAATAGCTAATGTTTATCGAGAACCGATCATGGGATATGGTTATTGAGAACTGATAATGGAATAATTCTGTAACATAGATGATCTCATTTAAAGCTCATGACAGCCCAATGATTTAGGAATCTTATCGTCCCCACTTGTTAGAGGGATAGGACATTTAGAGTTTGCCCCAGGTCACGCTGAAAATAAAGATTTGACCTGCAAAGCCAAGATATAACCGGATGCGTGCAGCCCGACTCCCAGCTTGGACTGCCAACGCTGAGCTTGGTGCGTAGCTGTCTCCCAGTGAAACTGAGTTCTTTGCAGCTCTTGGAGAAAACCCAGAGTACTGACAGTTCCCAAATTGCCGTGGTGGCATCCATTCACAAGGCCATGAAGCAATTAACTTGCTGTAAGGGAAATGGATGCGTACTTGTTGGCATGTTTTGACCTTAGCATATCTGCTGATTGTGGAGCTCTTCATTAGGACGCGTCGTGGATCAGTTCCACAACTAGGGTCATAGGCAAATTTTTTTCCCCACCAAAATCAGAAAGAAGTTATACCAAATCAACTCTGTTTTGCTGTCATGTTTTTCAAATAGTGCCCTTTCTCCCTGTATTGTTTGTTTGTTTGTTTATTTATTTATTTATTTATTTGCTCAGGGACTAGAAGAATATAGAGAAAAAAATGTATTCTATCTGAATACGTAATTTTTTTTAAAGTATAGAAAATGCATTATCAGCCTCCATTGTGCAGGTGGAAGGACAGCCGCCTGCCGGCCTCCTTTGCCAGCAAGAATCCAGCCTTGCAAATTATTGGCAGCTGGCACCGTAATGAGTCCATTTCAGCATAAATGGGCTATTGCTTATTAATTTCTGCCAGTTCCTAAGCAATTCAGGAACTGCTTTGGAAATGTGGAAATTTGCAGAGAGCATTTTAAGGAGGATGCCCAGGGAAAGGGAGTGAACCGGGTAGCAATGGGGGCATTGTGGAAAGGGAACGTATTGTGGGGTAATAATGGGGTGTTGCTGAGAACTTGTGCTCCTTTCCCTGCAAGCATGAGTCACTAACTTCATGGTTAACTAGCATATTTTCCAAGATAAGGAAGAACTGTATTTGCTTACTGTTCCATTCTGGATAGACATATATATTTATTTACTTACTTCCTGTATGTGGCTCCTTTCCACAAAATAGGCAGTTTTCTTCATGTTCCTGCTCAAAGTATTTGCCATCTCAGGTTCCCACCTGCCGAAACCACCAGCAGTGGGCAGCCCCAGGGAAATGTCTGGGAAGAAAGTACCAAAATGAAGCCACCCAAAGAGGCCCTTCAGGCCTTTGTTTTGCTTGCCTTAGTATTTGTCATTTCACCTCTACCAGCAGGCTTTAAAAAGATGAAGGAAATAAAACAACCCCATTAACCCATGTGTTCCTGGAGTCCTTGCCTTGTTCATTGATTTGCCATGTTAAATTACAGTTTGGATCTTTTACCTAAATTCTTTCCCATGCGTATTCTTCATGTGTTTTCTCTGAATTTGATGTTTGCCTTCACAAGAAAACGTGTATACAATGGAAAGCTCTATGGAATGGATTTGGGCTTCTGTTTTACTCTCTTTCCACATTTTCTTCAATATCCATCATAAATACAGCACTACTCTGAGAATAACTGAGGGTTGCTGGTTTCCTTTCATTTCTGTTTCTTGAGACTCTGAAGATTGAGTGGGACGTGGGAACCATTCCATAATAACCTGTTTCTGTTCTCCAACACCTTAATATAAACAGATAGATTAAAATAGTAAGATGACTTAGTCTGTAGGGCTATGGATTACCCTGAATGTAAATAGGCTGGTATTTGTTTATTTATTTATCTATTTATCTGATTTAAGCCTGTCGTTTTATGCCTGTATCCCAATGTTACATCATTTGATTTGGGATGTCATAATGTTATACGAAAGCGGCCCCGACCCAGACCCCAAGAGAGGGTTCTCGGATCTCACGCAAGAAAGAATTCAGGGAGAGTTTATAAAGTCAAAGCAAGTTTATTAAGAAAGTGAAGGAATGAAAGAATGGCTACTCCATAGACAGAGCAGCCCCAAGGGTTGCTGGTTGCCCATTTTTATAGTTATTTCTTGATTATATGCTAAACGGAGTGGATTATTCATGCCTCCCAGGCTGGAGTGCAAAGGTATGATCTTGGCTCACTGCAACCTCCACCTCCCAGGTTCCAGCGATTCTCCCACCATAGCCTCCCAAGTATCTGGGATTACAGGCACCCACCATCATGCCCAGCTAATTTTTGTATTTTAGTAAAGATGGGGTTTCACCATGTTGGCCAGGCTGGTCTTGAACTCCTGACCTCAGGTGATCCGCCTGCCTTGGCCTCCCAATGTGCTGGGATTACAGGCATGACTTACCGCGCCCAGCCCATGCCTCCCCTTTCTAGACCATATAAGGTAATTTCCTGACATTGCTGTGGCATTGTAAACTATCATGGCGCTGGTGGGAGTGTAGCAGTGAGGATGACCAGAGGTCAGTCTCGTCACCATCTTGGTTTTGGTGGGGTTTAGCAGACTTCTTTACTGCAGTCTGTTTTATCAGCAAGGTCTTTGTGACCTGTATCTTGTGCTGACCTCCTGCCTCATCCCGTGACTTAGAATGCCTTAACTGCTTGGGAACGCAGACCAGTAGGTTTCAGCCTCATTTTACCCAGCTCCTATTTAAGATGGAGTTGCTGTGGTTCAAATGCCTCTGACAGTATTTCACAAAAAGTTGATGTCATAGAATTGATGAAATGGGTTTGACAGAAAATGCGCATTTCCTTCCTTCTGCCTCATCATTTCCTTTCTGTTTTTCTGTCTCCTCTGACCCGCACCTCTCCAGGTTTTTGGCGCATTCTCACAGACTTAGATGAAACTGTGATGGCCACCCCAGGGCGCAGGTGCTGACATCGTCCCCAGCCCAGTGGCTGTTCATCCAGACATCATTTCCAACCTCAATATCTAAATGCCACAGTGCTCTTGGAGCAAGTTGGGCTGGGGACCACTGTTGCCTTTTAAGGTAGGTTTGCATATGTATATTTGAGCCTATTATGTTTGTATGAATTAATGGAAATGCTTCAAAGGTGCTGGGACAGATGCATTTTACTCTCATTGTTGTGTGTAGCTCGTGGGAAAAAGAATTTGGAATCACTTCCTTGAATTAGGGTTACACCTATCTGACAATTCAAAAGCATTAGCATTAAAACAAAACAGAAAAAACAAAGTAGGTGCCTATGAAATCCTTTTCTCCCCTGTGAATTGCCCTCAGGATCTCGTACATTTATCCCTGGGCTTCACCATCTTTATATCGGATTATGTTTGAAAAAGGCAAACCCGAGCTTCAAAATCCGACTTGAAAACAATGATATGTTTTGTTTTTGCTTTGGATAATCTTTAAAAAGTAAAAATAAACACCGTCAAAATAATAATCTTTTCGAAATCAAAGATCATCTTATATTTGTTGCAAAACTTTCCTGCTTAGTCTCTGGTGTTCAGGGTATTTGTGTGTGACTTGGCAAAACTCTTTTCATGGGTTGTAACGATTTAGCGAAAACTTTCAGAACTTTGTCTCAGTTTAATCTTAGCTCTCTCCCTCACCCCCACCCCCCAACACCGTCTTCAAGCGCAGCCTCCAGTAGGGAAAAAACAGGCTTGAAACCAAGACCTCCCACTAGAATCTAATTTTAAATTTGCAATCTGTTGTCTTGTGATTTCGCTTCAAATTTAACTTAGAAATAAATACATTTCATCCTTTCTCCTGCAGTTTTGGAGGCCTGTTTTCAAGTCATAGAAGGGTAATGATTACGTTTATTTTAATAAGTTTCTAAATACCTCAGGGGAGTGAGATTTTGTATTATTAATCATTATAACTTACATCATTAAATGCCTTCTGGTCAGATTTCACAACGTCCTTCCCAACGACAGAGAAACCTTGCTTTCACAGTTAACTGTTGACTTGAATATGATATAAATTGGATTATCATGGGCCCACCAGTGAGATCTAAGGTTTTATGTATTTGCAGTACCCTTGTAATAAGGCAGTGTCGGTGTTGAACATTCCCACTCAGAAGAGCTAGACTAAAACTTCTGTATATTTAGTTTACAATCACAAGTAAGATATGGTTTCTGCCATTGAGATTTTTATAATAAAATGAGAAGAGGGTAGTTAAAAACAAGACAGATGTGCCAGTGTACAAATAACCCTGCCAGAGATACAATGAGAGGAGGTCAGTGTGCCATTGAAACATAGTGAAAAAGTGGAGTAAGTCCAAGCTAGGTAGTATTTTCTTCATCGTAGGTAATTTTCCCAGGCCATCTGTTTTAGAGTTTGGGTTTGATGCCGTTTTGTTGTAGCTGTCAGCATAGTGCCCACATCCTCACTCTCTTCAACTGTAAAAAAAAATTCAGTGACTTAAAAACCTGTTGGCATGTTCTATTTATTTTACTTTCCTTAAAATGAATTACATATTTAGTATAAAAACATTAGAAAATACCAAAAAAAGGTATAATTGTGAAAATTGCCCTACAAGCAATCCATCCGGAATAATTGCTTTTTAAAATTCTTACACAGATTTATCATGTATATAGGCGTGTGAAATATTTACATATTAATATTCTTTTTTTTTTTTTTTTTCCTCCTGAGACAGCGTTTTGCTGTCACCTAGGCTAGAGTGCATGTGGTGTAATCTGTGCTCACTACAACGCCTCCGCCTCCCGGGTTCAAGCGATTCTTGTGCCTCAGCCTCCAGAGTAGCTGGGATTACAGACTTCCCCTCTCCACCACGCCCAGCTAATTTTTGTAGTTTTAGTAGAGATGGGGTTTCACCATGTTGGCCAGACTAGTCTCAACTCCTGACCTCAAGTGATCCACCTGCCTCAGCCTCCCGAAGTGCTGTGATTACAGGTGTGAGCCACTGTGCCGGCCACATTCAATACTCTTGGAGGAGAATTTTTAACTCTCTCAAAGTCCGTATCTTGAATGTGCATCTCAAATCTAAGATTTTAATTCTGGAGGATGAGAAAAATTTGCACTAGAGATGTTTGATCCCAGTGGTAGAATCACCTTTTGGATTATTACTCCCACACAGGGAAAGCCCTGACCACGCTGACCCACAGGGCTAGGCATTGTTCATGTGGAACTTTCCTGTTCTTCAGCTAGAGGGTGGGGATCCTACTGCCAGGAGCACCACTGGAACCCTCGGATAATTGAGGGCATTAGACATCCTAAACCATAAAAATATTTATTACAACCTCCTTAGTCCTCAAGGTGATGAAGTTGTTTCCAGATTCCCTTGTGTCTTTTTCTTTCCTTCCCTGTTTTCCCTCTCAACAATCTGTGGTTGTGGAAGTGTTTTTCTATGTTTCTTTATACCCAGGACTTTGACCACAGGGTGGCTTTCTATTCACTGGAATATTTCCTTACACAGTACAGGTGGTTTAAAAATGCAAGGTATGTGCTGTATCTTGGTCATATAGGGTTGACCTTTCTTTTTTATGTGTGTTCTATTTGTATACTCATGTATTTTTTTTTTTTTTTTTTTTTGAGAAGGAGTCTCGCTCTGTTTCCCAGGCTGGAGTGCAGTGGCACAATCTTGGCTCACTGCAGCCTCTGCCTTCTGGGTTCAAGTGATTCTCCTGCCTCAGCCTCCCAAGTAGGGTTCCAGGATTCGAGGCGTGTACCATGCCTGGCTAATTTTTGTATTTTTGTAGAGATGGGGTTTTGCCATGTTGGCCAGGCTGGTCTCCAACTCCTGACCTCAAGTGATCCACCCTCCTTGGCCTCCCAAACTGCAGGCATGAGCCACCGCGCCCAGCCTTTACTCATGTATTAATATCATCATTGATGTTCATAATGATCTTACACAGGCATTGCAAGCAGCTAAGTTTCTCATTAATTTCAAGGGTGTTTACTTTTACTCAGGAAGCACACTTGTAATAGTTGCTTTAAAAGTCTGATAATTCCAACATCTGGGCCACCTTGGGATTGGCATCTAGTGATTGTCCTTACCCCTGAGAGCTAATCAAATTTTCCTGGTTCTTTGAAATGCATTGTAGGCATTTTGAATATTATGTCGTGATACTCCAGGTCTTGGTACATCATCTGGAGAATATTGATTTTTCCTTGTTGTTATTTTGCCGGCAGTCAACCTGACTGGGTTCAGATTATAAGTGCTGTCTCACCTCCGTGGGTGGAGGCTCTAATGTCAGTTCAGTTTTCAAAGCCTTTGGTATACTACTTTGAGTTTGTCCTGTTTGTGCACCACTCAGGTGTTAGTCTGAGGGTTGGGCTGTGGTTTATGTCTTGATTTAGTTCTCAAAGCTTTTGCTGTCTTGCTTTGAATCAGTCCTAGGCATGTGCATCTGAGGAGTGAGCCTGGCACTTGTGCAGATTTATATGCACCATTATGGGATGTTATTTTCCAGTTTTCTTTTCTCTGAGATCTCCACACTCTCTCTGGCTTACAGGGACTATTCTTGATTCCTCTGGGTAGAACAACAAGGTCTGATCCAGAGTTTTTGTTGCCTGTGTCATAGCTTCACTGGAGCTATACTCACCCTTGGTGTAAGGCTGGGTGAGAAATTAGGACAATAAAAACAAAATAGGAAACTCACCCTTAAATGGGTGGCATCCTCAGGTTTTGATCTTTTTTTTTTGCTTTTGTTTACTTGTTGGTCCAGAGTTTTTAGTTGTCATTAGCTGGGGCAAGATAGGCCTTAGTTGGTTTACTCCAACTTGCTGGCACCAGATATTAAAAACTTATTTTTTTTACTAGTTTGTTAAGACAGAAGCTTTATCCTCAGATAATCAATGTCACCTCTTTATTTAACCACATTTTGGACCACTGTTCTGTGTTTGCTTTGTACTTTCTGATCACATTTTGCTAGATGATGCTCAATAAATGCTTGTTTTTTTTTGTTGTTGTTGCCTAATTCATTGAAATTATGTTAGAATATTCTAGATGCTTTTCAGCTAAAAATAAAAGGGGATTCAACTACATTTTTTTTGGAAGAACTCTCACTTTAAACTACAGTTTCATTAGACTATTCAGTTAGTTAATTAAGACTCATTTTGTTTGTTTAACTTTTTATTTCAAAATAATTATGATTCACAGGAAATTGTATGCAGGAAATGTAACCATCACCCAGTTTTTTCTAATGGTTGCATCTTGCATAATTATAGTAAAATACCAAAGCCAGGAATTTGACATTGTTTCAATGTATGTGTGGTTCTATATCTTTTCTTTTTTTAAGGCTTAGTAGCCTAATAAATCTATAAAAGCAGTCCCTGAGAAATGACCACCTATCAGATATATATGAACCACCCTAACAAGTATTTATGCATATTGCTAAAGTTTCTTAAAATACCTTTTGACTCCTTTACTATGTATAGACAGTCCCCAACTTAGGGTGGTTTGACTTGTGTTTTTTTAACTTTACGGTGGTACACATGCAATCCCTTTGTTTTTCACTTTCAGCACAGTATTCAATAAGTTGCATGAAATATGTGTTGAATATGAAATATTCAACACTTATTATAAATAAATATTCAACAAATATTCAATACTTAAAATAGACTTTGTGTCAGATGATTTTGCTCAACTGTAGGCTAATGTAAGTGTTCTGAGCACATTTAGGGTAAGCTAGGCTCAGGTATGATGTTTGGTAGGTTAGGTAGATTAAATGTATTTTTGACTTAGGATATCTTCACCTTACAGTGGGTTTATGATGATATGACCCCATAATAAATGGAGGAGCATCTGCATTTAATTTGATGGGATTTAAAGGCCTTTAAGGTGATTACTTACTGAAAAGTTTAACTCATCACTTTAAGAGAGGATCGTGGTGTTGGTAAGAATAGAAGAATCACACTCATCCTATTGTCTTTGATTCCTGGCCCTAAGCACTCCCCTGGGAGCTCCTGATGCTTTGACCCCATACCACTTTCAGATGACACTCTTGCCCATCATGCCACTTAGTCTCCTTTGCCCCCACTTTCTCTGGATCCTCCTAGGCCTGAGCAGTTCTGCACTCATTGCCCTGACTATGGGGAGAGCTGCTCTCTCAATTCTTAACCTCATTCCTGAACCTCTGCACTGTAGCTCCAAAAGGAAGAGGAAGATAGGAACTGAAGGCAAGAATTCAGTGGAATGAGACAGGTGCAAGCCCTTAATTCTTTCCCCAGGAAGCACTGGGGGTGGGGAGGGGAACACACTGGAGCACAAGCTGAACACCCTCACCCCTAAGTTCATGGATCAGGGTGACCTTCAACCCAGTGGTCCAGAGTAAGGGACGGACACAGACCTGCAGGTGAAAAGGGCCCTGAGAGCAGCGAGCTGATGGGGAAGTATCTTCCAGGCATCCTGAGAGAAGAGACTAGTGTATTTAAGACTGATGTGTGCTGTGTCTCATTCGCATTATGGTCATGTTCTCACCTATGTTGCATTGTAGTTGTATGAGTTTTCACATCTTACATTAAAGTGTCTGTCATTCTTTCATTCCAGTATTTTTTTTTTCCTTTGAGTTTTTAGTGCTTTCTTAATGGACCACCTACAACCTCTCAGGCTGGGTTCTAGGCACTGAGGATACAGCAGGAAACAAGACACTTCCAGCCCTCCTGAAGCTTAGGCTCTAGTGGGAAGAGAGAATAAGAGAGACCAGTAGAGAATAGGAAAGACCAGTAAGTGAAATATATATTGTTGGTTACAATTATGATCAATGTGAAGGCGAAAAGCGAAAGAAGAGGGGTAAGAAATGTTGAGTTCTGCAGCACTGGGTGTCATTTTAGATGGAGGGGTCAGGAAAGGCCTCCTTGACAAGGGGACATTTGATTGAAGGTCTGAAGGAACTTGGTGGAGTAGGCGGAAAGGCGGAGCGTTCTAGGCAGAGGGACAGGCACAGGCCCTGAGGTGGGCTAAGGAAGCCAGAACTCAGAACAGGGATGTCCAGTCTTTTGGCTTCCCTGGGCCACATTGGAAGAAGAAGAATTGTCTTGGGCCACACATAAGATACACTAACCACTAACGATAACGAATGAGCCAAAAAAACCAATTTATTTATTTTACTCGTAAGAAATGTAGCATGTAAATCTCCTAGTGTTTTAAGAAAGTGTGTGAATTTGTGTTGGGCTGCATTCAAAACCATCCACGTGGTCTGCGGGCTACGGGTTGAACAAGCTTGACTTAGAAGATTGGAAAGAAAGAAAAGCACGAGAAGCCAGACTTGAGGTTTGAATATTGAGAGTTGTTCTTAGGCTAAAAACTTGTCCTACCTCCCTCCTACCTAGTCCCTAAACATGAAAGCTATCTGGGACCACTAACATTCTAGAGAAGTAAGTCATAGTCGGAAATAAAAGTTTAATGAATTTAAACCTGGTAACGTTTCCCAGCTTGAGATCTAGTACCAGTTTTCTGGCATCCTCCTTTTCAATGTCAATCCCCGTTTCTGCATTTCAGCTTGTCCTTCTTGTCCCAAATATTCTCTCTCCTACCTAGTGACTGTGTGATGATGTTGGTGAGGTGCTGGTCCTTCACTTTTTGCTTTTGTTACTAAAATGCACCAATATTTATGATTCTTTATGATGCGTAGAATATTTCTAGTCTTATGGAAGTCATAAAAAAAGTAAAAGTAAATTTCTGCCCTGAATTTGCTTCCTTTGTACTACAGGAACAACAAAACCCACGCAAATATAAAGTGCAAATCAGGTTTTGTTTGTTGAAGATAAAAATAAAAAGGGTTAAGTAAGATAGAATAGGAAGAAATTAAGATGATGGAAGTAGCTGGCATTTTACATATGTACATGGAAAGGTTAAAACTTAAATTCACCGCCTGGGTGCGGTGGCTCACGACTGTAATCCCAGCACTTTGGGAGGCCGAGGCAGGCGGACCATGAGGTCGGGAGATCAAGACTATCCTGGCTAACACGGTGAAACCCCATCTGTATTAAAAATGCAAAAAATTAGCTGGGCATCATGGCGGGCGCCTGTAGTCCCAGCTACTCAGGAGGCTGAGGCAGGAGAATGGCGGGAACCCAGGAGGAGGAGCTTGCAGTGAGCCGAGATCACGCCACTGCACTCCAGCCTGGGCGACAGAGCGAGACTCTGTCTCCAAAAAAAAAACAGCCTTACAATTCACCAACTTTCTGGGGCTTGCCAGTGGGACAGGGGTTGTTTCTGAAGCGGAGATGCTGTCTCCTGGATGCAATGAGCTATTTCAACTTTTCACACTGATGTTATTTCAGAGTCCTCCACTGATCCACATGGGCTTTCATCGTTCTTACTAACCTTTCAGGAACAGCTTTCAAATTGAAAGGTGTTTCAGCAGTCCCTAGAAACTTATTTTTCTTAACTTCAGTTGCTTCAAACTTCCCGCTCACGCTCCTTAGGCCATCCCCTGAGAGTTTCTCTTAGTAGGATTTAGGAGATTTGGCATTCCTGTCTACATTCTAGTTCTGAAGATAAAAGTGGCTTCTTGCCTACCTTGGCCAGCTGAAAAGAATCTTGCTACTAAAAATGCTATGAATATAACAGAGCCGTCAGTGTGATACATGGAGTGCGGTAATTCTTGAAGGTTGGGGCCATTTCCTTCAGGAAAACCTCTCCTGAGGCTTTTAACTTGATGAGTTTTCTGTTGGCAGAAACAAGCCTCACCAGAAAGCTGTTGTTGAAAATATATCTGTCAATTTATATTTGCAAACTTTTGATATATGTGCTAGAGGAGGGTAAATCTTAGCGTATTTGAGGCGACAGTTTTGCCTTTTCTTTTACTCAATTTATTTCATCATAGTCCTTTCCTCTTTTAAATTGAAACCTATGTGATTCTTAAAATGGTTCTAAGTCTTTATTTATTGGCAAAAGATATAGTTACATAGGCACATCCAGGTATCTTAATATATCCTTTAAAAAACTAAAGAACTCCAAGGCATTGGTCACAGCCTTTAGTGTTATTGAAATGCACATTTATTTATTTTACTCGTAAGAAATGTAGCATGTGCCATTCTTAGGAATTTAGATAATATAAATGGTTGTGCACAGACCGTTGATCTTTTCGTTTTTATCTTTTTTCTTCTTAAAGATACCAGAGAAGCATGAACATATTGCTTTGAAATCTACTTGCTACTAGTAAAAAGGAGATAGTCTTTCTTGGAAAATTCCCTCTGAGATTCCTCTGATGTGTGACCTGGTGGGGAATATTCCAGACTGGGAATAGCTTAACATCTGGTGTCTGTATGAGTTATCCCTGAACTCACTGGGACATTCAATGGAGGGTTTCCCTTTGTATTGCAACAAATTTTATTTCAGTAAAGATGTGCTGGTGAGAGTTTCAGTAACATTTTAGCCTGAACAGTGGAATTATAGAGTAAGTCTAGGATCAATGTGAAGGTATATTGTATTCCAGGCTGTTTCGATCTCTTTGCAATGATCACAGTAATATCACTTCCTGCTTTGCCACCATGCCTTTTACTTTCTTGTGTATTGCGTGCCTTCCCTGGCTAGAAGTTAGCTTCATGAGAGTAGGGGATGTGTCCCTTTTGTTCCCTGCTGTATCTCTGGCTTCTAGAACATGGTAGGTGCTCAATGTGTATTTTCTGAATGAATGACTCTCTAGGTGGTTAAAAGAACCACCTCAGAGATATGCCCAGTTACTCTGTTTTTCTTCTTTCCTTTCCAGCTATTTTCATGTGCGTTATCTTAAGTGCATAGAATTTGAAGTGTGCCAGAGAGACCTCACGGAGCAAGGAGAATAGGCTAAGTAGAGTCACAGTTGTCGAGCTTTGAAGATTTTTCTCTTTCCCACTGTGGGTAACAGAATTGTGTCATCGGGTCAGTGAGAGAGACTGTAAAAATATTAAGGAGAGACTTGAATTAACCTGGGGGGCCCCAGAAGGCTGAATCACACTTAGTGGTTTCACAATGTGAATTTCTGTTTGCAGGGCACGCTGTACCAGATTAATGTTCGCAGGTTGGATTTGCTCCCAGAAATAAACCCATTAATCTACTGCTAAGCAGAGAGCAGAGTTTCTATTTTGTTTTGCCCATCCCCACCACCCCTCCATAGCCCTCCCAAAATGCCCCTAAAATCCAGGTCCTCAGAAGGCTGTGACATTAAAGGTCAAAGCTTTTTTAAATTTTTGACTTTGATTTACTAGGAAAAGTTGATCAGACTTATACTTTGAGGTTTTCCATTTCTGATTTTTTTTGAAGCATTATTAGAGCTCAAATAGAGAAAACAAACAAACAAACAAAAAACCCAAAAGTACCCATTGGCAGGGAGGGAAGGAGGTTACCAAACGCACCTCTAAGTTTTGTTTTTTGAAATACGTATATCATTTCAAACAGAAATTACTCCTTTGGTGAACATTTTGGTTCGTACTTTCAGAGTTTTCAATTTACAGATAGGAGTAGAACTTCAAATATTTAGGAAGGAAGACCAGGTCAGTGGAGTTTCTGGCTGTACAAAAGCAGCGCTCTCAGCTGTGTCCTGTGGCCTGTGGCCATCGTCCCTCTGGGCAGAGACGAGTCTAACTGTCTGATGCTCATATTTAGGAGCTCATTTCATATCTCAGGGGGCAGTCTCAGTAGATGATGTTACTGTTGACCTGCTTCGAGGTAAGAGTCCAAGAACCTACCAGGTGCATGTAGGAAGTTGTGCCGTTACTTACCCCACAAGCCCTGTGAGCCAAGGTGTTCTAACCCTCCCTGCAGGCTGAGCTCTTTCTCTGAGATGCCTATACCTGTACTGGTAGTGACTCAGTTCTCCCCCTTTCCCCCCGCTTTGCTGCAGACCATAAAACCATGGGAAACGCAGAAAGTCAACATGTAGAGCACGAGTTTTATGGAGAAAAGCATGCCAGCCTGGGGCGCAAGCACACGTCCCGCTCCCTCCGCCTCTCGCACAAGACGCGGCGGACCAGGCACGCTTCCTCCGGGAAGGTGATCCACAGGAACTCCGAAGTAAGCACCCGCTCCAGCAGCACCCCCAGCATCCCCCAGTCCCTGGCTGAAAATGGCCTGGAGCCCTTCTCCCAAGATGGTACCCTAGAAGACTTCGGGAGCCCCATCTGGGTGGACCGAGTGGACATGGGCTTGAGACCTGTGTCTTACACTGACTCTTCTGTCACTCCCAGCGTAGACAGCAGCATCGTGCTCACGGCAGCCTCTGTGCAGAGCATGCCAGACTCTGAGGAGAGCAGGCTTTACGGGGATGACGCTACATATTTGGCTGAGGGAGGCAGGAGGCAGCATTCCTATACATCCAATGGGCCCACTTTCATGGAGACGGCGAGCTTTAAGAAGAAACGCTCCAAATCTGCAGACATCTGGCGGGAGGACAGCCTGGAATTCTCACTCTCTGATCTGAGCCAAGAACATTTAACAAGCAACGAAGAAATCTTGGGTTCCGCGGAAGAGAAGGACTGCGAGGAGGCTCGGGGGATGGAAACGCGGGCGAGTCCGCGGCAGCTCAGCACCTGTCAGAGAGCCAATTCCTTGGGTGACTTGTATGCTCAGAAAAACTCTGGAGTGACAGCAAACGGAGGGCCGGGGAGCAAATTTGCAGGCTACTGTCGGAATTTGGTGTCTGATATTCCCAATCTTGCAAACCATAAGATGCCACCAGCTGCTGCTGAAGAGACTCCTCCGTACAGTAATTATAACACACTTCCCTGTAGGAAATCTCACTGTCTCTCTGAAGGTGCCACCAACCCACAAATTAGCCATAGCAACAGCATGCAAGGCAGAAGAGCTAAAACAACTCAGGTAAAGTGATTGAAATTTGTTTCAATATTTTGGGAATGGTGCATGACTCTTTCAGTGCATGACTTTGCTCTTAGAATATTTCCATCTTTTAATCGGGTTTTACCCTGTTTGCCTGGTAGTTGCTGCAGCTGGTGCTGTTTTGGGAGGATTTCTGTCTCTTCTGCTTTGCCCCCTTACAGTTCTGTGGTTACGGGGTGGGGATTAAGGGAAGTGTGTGGGGGGAGTGGCGATGTGATAGGAGTGGGAAAAAAGCTAGTAAGTTCATATTGGGAAACTGCTTCTACATCTTAGTTCTTCAACAGCATCCCACTTATTCCAGCTTCCTTTCTAACTTGGTCCTTCCCGTGGAAAAACAGGCATGGTGGGTTGCAGACTCTTGGAACTTATTTCTTCACTGCAGCAGGTGGGAGGAGGTTAGTCGGCAACTCCTTTGAGGAGGCATTTTAAATTCTGGGCGGGTTTGGGTCACTTGTCAGCTCCTCTTGGTGGTTGGCAGGCTCGCTGCCTTACCGGGAGCCATTTCAATTTCCTGTTCCGTGCGATGCTGGCCAGCCCTGTCTCTGGAGGGAGGTGGAGCGGAAGGAATAACATGAGTGGCTTCCAGTTCTTACTTTGCAACCAGCCAGTTGTTTGACCTTGGGCAAACCCTGACTTCTAGTCGTTCCTCTGAAAAATGGGGATAAAGATGCTCAGCTTGCCTGCTTCGGGGTCTAGTGCACGAAACCGTGGGGAGGAAACTAAGAGACTTCGCTCCAGCCCGGGTGACAAAAGTGAGACTCCATCTCCAAAAAAAAAAAAAAAAAAAAAAAAGACTTTGAAAGTGTTTTCCTAGTGAAAGGAGGCACCATTACCTTAGTTGGCGGTGATAATTAAGATTAGGATAATAAAATGTTGGGCAATTGAGCCGGCTTGGTGGCTGTGGCAGGGGGATGCTTTGAGCCTAGGAGTTTAAATCCCACCTGGGCAACATAGTGAGACTCTGTGTCAATAAAAGAAAGGAAGGTGGAGTAATCCTGCATGCATTGGGCCTTTTCTGGTACTTCTGTTCCCCAAGGCAGAGTTCAGGGAGTCTTGGCTTTTGCTGAGGATGGGGAGGTGGTTTGTAGATGGTGCTTCAGGTTAAAATTCCAGACTGGGCCCATTTGCCTTGACGGCGGAGCAGCCTCAAGGTTGAGCAGCAGACTTCCCTGCACAGCACTCTGATTGCCCAGTAGGAGGTGGTGCTGCACCTTCCGGCCTCGCTCCAGTGCAAGTCAAATGGGCATTTCGAAGGTATGTTCTGCTGGAAAGGGGGTCTAAATATAATGGGCATAGGATGGAGGATGTAGGGAGAGCCGATAAAAAGAAAACTGGCATTAGACTGTCTGTGTTCCTGCCTGAGGACAGGTTTTGCTGATGGTGGCCAAGCCAGGTATCTTAACTGCACGTCTTCTTACCTGAGTGACTTTGGGTAAGTTGTTCACTTTCTTGTAGCCTCAATTTCTTCATCTGTCAAATGGAGATGATAAGGTTTTTTGAGAAAGTAGAATGAAATAGTATGTGAAGCAAAGTGCCTGGTTCTTAGGAAGCAGCCAGTAAGGGCAACTTTGTTAGCTGTTGTGATATTCATCATTGTTAGTGGAACCATATGGGTTGAGGACCCGGGGTAGTTGTTTGTATCAGTATCTTGAGTACCTCATAAAGGTCAAACAGTAGACACTAGGGATGCTAAAAGCTGGGAGGGAGGGGAGCAAGAGTTGAAAAATGAATTATTGGGTACCGTGTTCACTGTTTGGGTGATGGGTTCAGTAGAAGCCCAAACCTCAGTATTGCACAATATGTCCATTTAACAAACATGCACGTGTACCCCTTGACTCTGAGGAAAGAAAAAAACACTTGTGTCCTAGAAATCAAGTTGCTACCAAGGCTGCATCTGTGGTCTGAGAAGGTAAGCCCGAAGCTTGCCTCTAGATGTACTCCCTGAATTTTAAACCCATCTCTTCTGAATTGAGAGTATAATGACACAAGTGACCAGATAACCCATCTGCAGCCCCTCTGTCTGCCCTACGAGGGCTACTTCTGCACTGCCAACTGGACAGATCATGGAGATATGTGACCTATTAAAGAGTCACCTGAAAGGGATCGAAGGGCTGTCTTGAAGGCATCATCAGATTGGCACTGCAGGGCTGATTCAAAGAGATGATCTATGGGGCCTTTGGAGCTTAGAGAAGGATACAGTGGCACAGACTGTTAGAAACAGAACATCATCTTCGACTTTCACTTTCACCTGAACGGTGCTAAGTTAGTGCATATGCTGTGTAAGAGTTGAGAGGGGTGCCCTGTTGTATTTTGGCTCTCCGTGATTCCGACTCTAGGGATGGCTAGACCCCTGCTCTCCTTCACACTCTGTAGCTGATGGGGATTTGAGCTTTTGAGTTATGGTTACCCCCAGAAAATGGGCAAAGCAAAGGACAGTTCTCCCCTCCAGGTCTGGTACCACTGAAAGCTCTCATGTGTCATTGTTATATGAAATTTCCATTCTTTGGCTTGTCACCTTCTAAAATTGTTAATATATGGAAGTGAGATCATCTAAAGGTGGTGTCTCATAAAATCACTGCTTAGGCAGCTTAATGTAATGGGAAGTGCCATTGGCCAGGAATCCTAAAAAGTGCATTTGCATCCTGGCGTGAGTGCTTACCCAGTGGTGACCTTGGGCCAGTCACTCCATCTTTTGTGGCCCAGGATCTCTTGCTGTCCAGTCTGAGTGACACCAGCCTCCCACAGGGCCATTAGGAGAACCAAATAGGATGCCATGCATGGAAACCTCTTGTGGAGCCTATAAAATGCACGGAAGTATTATTTTTGTATTGACTTTATATGTTGAGTGAGGATCTTTAATGACTTGAAACAAACCCCAGAATTATGCACAACACTATCCATCCGCCCACATTTCCTAGTCTAAGTTTGGCGTGTTCATCCAACGCGATTTCTTGAGAGCCCACTATGTTCCAAACAGTGTATTTTAAGAGGCAGTGGGTGTGGAAGCTTCCTTGAAAAGAATGCTTTTTAAAAATATTTTTTTTTTCTTTTTTTTTGGTAATAGTTTTTGACCCAGGAGACCTCTCCAGTGAGCTTGAATCGTAGATATTAAGTCTCCTCGGCTGCCCTGGTGATGTAGTTGAATCTGTAATCGTCCTGTTAGCACTTTTACTCCCCAGAAAAGAGTTCCTGGCAGACATTTGACCCAGGAGCGTGACCTCTAAGCCTGGAAGAAAACACATGTTATCTGAAATAATGTGAACAACTTCATTTGATTTGAAAATGATGAAAAAAGGGTTTTTGGCCCTTTTTCCTGTTTTTGGATTTTTTCAGTAGTTGGATGGATTATTGAAATGTGAAGGCACTGGAGTTCACATTTCAGTCTTGAACGGTGGCACATACGTTCTTCAGGGTCTGTCTGGCAATTTTTGGTTTAATCCGGGTATTTTATGAGCATGTTTGTTGTGCATGCACATGTGCACTGTGCAGAAAAGTTTGTCTTGGGGGTCAACATGAGTAAAGCCTCATGCTATTTGAAGCAGAATTTATTTCTGTTGGTTTCTGTAAAAGTACTTAATAGGTTACTCCTTGGATTTAATTGATGGCTAGTTCGTCTTTGGGCCTGAACTTTATGAATTTCTTTAATTACAGACAGAGGAGGGGGCTGCCTAGTGTCAGACAAAGAAGTTAGGAGCATATCTGAGCTTCCAATTTTGAGGCTGTTACCTCTTGGTTATTTAACTTCTATGGATCTCAGTGCCTCTTAAATGAGGCTGGAGATTCTGCAAATGAATGAATGGAGAACTCGCGGCACAATTTTACACATACAGATGCTTAATAGGAGTTTTACACATACAGATGCACAATGTGATAGTGAAGACTGCCTCATTGTTCTAGGGTTCAGCTCTGCTGTGTCTTTGAGACTTTCAGTGTGTGAGTTGGCGAGAGAACCCTACCGTTTGATGGAGTCTTATAGCCAGGTTCTGTGTTCTGTGGGAAGCTTTGGCGTGGAGCCGTTGTGCATGCTTGCAAGGAGAGCTTCATTCATCCACTTGGGAGATGAAGGAACATGGCCAGGTTCTACTGAGCATGTCTCTGGGAACCTCAGCCTCAGGAGAGCAGCAAGGAGCCTGGCTCTCCGAGCATCCCTAGCCAGGTGTGGTGCTGGTGAATAGGTTTGTGAGTTTCACTGGCCAGTTTCAGACACAGCAGCATTCCCAGAAAATAAAGAGATTAGGAGATAAGGTGTCACAACTGAATGAAAACCCAGGTATTCTTTTTTTTTTGAGACAGAATCTCACTCTGTTGCCCAGGATGGAATGCAGTGGCACGGTCTTGGCTCACTGCAACCTCTGCCTCCCAGGTTCAAGCGATTCTCATGCCTCAGCCCCCAGAGTAGCTGGAATTACAGGCACGCACCACTGCGCCTGGCTAATTTTTTGTATTTTTAGTAGAAACAGGGTTTCACCATGTTGACCAGGCTGATCTTGAATTCCTGATCTCCAGTGATCACCCTCCCGCCTCAACCTCTCAAGTGCTAGGATTACAGGCGTGAACCACCGCACCCGGTCAAAAATCCGAGTCTTCTGACTTGCTAATCAGAGAGGGCCTTTTCTTCCAAAGCACACACCCACACTGCACTGCCTCCCTTGCTTGAAAAGGTTTCAGCTCAATATCCTCAGATTTTAAGATCAAAACCCTCAATTGTGGTACACGCACACACACATACACACACACACACAAGGGCTTGGCTGAAAAGAAAATTGTTACTGCCCACTCTTGTCACCTAAAACAGTGATTACAGAGAGAGGTGGCCAGGATAACTCTAGCAGAGCCATCCCTCACGGCTGCCTTCTTTGATAAGCAAGTAGTCGCGTTGATGATTTCATTAATAACAAGGTAGAGTGCAGCATTGTCAGAAGAGGAGCTTGAGTTCCTAGAAAAATTATCTCGATGTTTAAAATTTTGTTTTATTTTGCAAC